TTAGTTATCCTATCAAAATAATAAATAAAACATGATTATTTATTGAGAGCACAAATAATAATAACAAATGATGAACGGTATATGGCTAAATATTTCTTATAAAACCTATAATCTTTTGTTTTGCTTAATAAGAAAACAAGAATGAAGATCCTAAAACCATTTTCATTTTATATTTTTTAAATAAAGAAAATATTAAAACAAAAGTACTACTATGTAGCTTTTAATCAGAGTCTTACACTATTGCTAACCTTAGGTGCCTTAACTTCAAAGAAGACATAAGATTTTGACTTCAACTTTGATACAAAGCAGAGTCACGGGATTTAAGAGGGGGAAATGAAGTCATTGACTTCTAAAAAGGTGGAGATGCATGATCAATGAGGGTGAGCTGATGTGTTTGACTTCGGCAAAAGTGAAATGTGGGACTTTGAGGGTAGATAAGCAAGATTTGTAAATGCTAGCAATATTATTTGTTTGGTTTATTTAAAATTGAATACGATGTTCACACTTTATACTCTATACCAAGAATGAAGGTAAATAATATATTACATGCGAAGATCTTGATTGAATGATGATTTAAACAATGGTTGAATTATCCGTGAATGATAACTAAATTCTCATCAGATCATCTGTGAATAATAATCATAACATGATCAAATATAAATTGAAGATGATTCGATCATTGTTTAAGGATTCTTCAATCATTGTTCGATTATTATTTGAACATTCTTCCAAGGTAATTTGATGTTTGTTAGATCATGTTACAAACATAGTTTGATAATTTGTTGATAGTTGTTCAAATATGATTCAATCTTTTACGAAATATTGTTCAATCAAGATTCAAAGATACTTTGAAAACGATTTGACCATTGTGTAACCTTATTTGATCATCATTTAAACAAATATGATTAGGGCTTTTAAGTTTAAGCACAAAATGCTCATTCAAGTGGCCTGTTCATGTCCAGACTTGTTGGATAAGCGTTGGAGTTCAATTTCATATTTAAAAAACAACAACAAAATTTCCAGCATTTTGTGCACATTTTGGGTTATGTTAAAGCTGTATCCATGTTCGATGCGGAGAGCCATTTGATACTGTTTGTGCTTCATAACTAAAGCATGATAAATGGAACTCATGTAAGAGGAACACTCTTTATAAATTTGAAGGCAAAAAATACAAGAATTTTAATAAAGGGGTTATCCTTCAATTTTTGAAATTACAATAATAATCTTCAATGTCTTATGAGCTATGCATGGCCTAGTTGCCATCAAGTTTGTATACATCTACGGAAGAACAGAACATTATATTCCCCAGGAACAATTTTAGCATATAGTTATATCACAATTAAGGTTATCAGACAATAAAACAGTTCTTTTCCTACCATCAAAGGCCAAGTACAGGTCTTTCCAACTTAATCAACAATAACAGAACAAGTTAGAATGCTTACAGGATTATAGTAAGACAGCCGTGGCGTCTCATTTAACAAATCATCCGGCCCTTCCGAAAAGCTGAATCAAACACTAAACAAATTAGAAAGCTGAATCAAATTCCAAAAAAATATTAGAGCAAAGAATATGGCATTTGGAGAACCATAATCAACAATGAGAAATCAGCTTTTGATTTCTTATTTTCAACTGAAGCATAGTTTCGAGCCTTCAACATGACCGAATGATAAATGTGGATTCATGAAACCAACTCCAAACAGCTGAGATAAAAGTGATGATTTATTTGCATAACAATATCTTCTATTCTGAATAACACAATCATAAACCACCCTCCAATTTTATTTTTATTATGATATCCTTCATCTTTTCTAGCAAAACATGTTCCACAAATTAAATTGTTTGTTTACCTCCTCCATAAATAGCTATCTGGAACACGAGGAGAACAATTAGAATCACAGCTGCATTCCAGAACTTTTGTGTTACATTCTTCCTTCACAGAGCCAGAAATCTTTATTTTCTCCATGGTTCACCTTTGATTATCCTGAAAACGACAGATCATGTTCTCAGAAGTACAGAAATCATTTAGATTCAATTATTACAATGAAAAATGAGAGTCCCAGTATATATCCATGAAGAGAACCAGAGAAGGAGATAAACCTACTTACTCTGCTGAAACAAACACTGAACAGAAATAATCTCTGAAACCCTAATCCCTGCACTAAGAAAAATAAGAACAGAGCAAAGTCACAGATTGGGAGCATTTCACCAAGGAAGCAGGCAGCTCATCATACTACCAACTTTCAACAAATCCTCAAAAACAATGGAATCTTCCAAAAAATAAGCAAAAGATCTCATTTTTTTTATTGAGAAATGTCATAGCTGTCAAGCTTTTATACTCATTAAATTTTGTCAGTATAAAATTAATAAACTTGATTTATAAATTATCATCATTTGTCGAAAAAAAATATTCTTGCCATGGCAGCGATGGAGGAATCAACAGATGGGAATCATTAGAAGGCCGCATTGAATAAATCATGAATGCAACCTGACCGAACCGTAATCAATAAGTAAAGAGATGATTAATGGCTCCTGCCAGGCCTGAGAGCTCATGCTGCTCAGCAGCTCCTTCCTCGGATGAACCCTGAGGACACAGTAACTTGCGTTGCTTCAAATTATTATAAAATTTTGATTTTGTGATAGAACAAAACTAAAAAATAAAAGATATGATGATATTTTCAAACAGCGCCATTAAAAAATCCAATTTTTTCACGTTTATTATTTTCAAAACTAATTTTTTTCAGTAAATCTTCAGCTTGCTAATTTTTAATG